GCTTTGAAAGCAAAATCAAAAGATTTGAAAAGTTGCCATTTTGATAATTTTCTGCCATTTTGAACTTTGAGTGAACCTGGACAGGTTATGGTTGGTGTCTTGCTCGAATTTGGGCTTTGAGCTAATCAGTCCAAGCCCAACAAGCTTCAACCCATTAGGTTTTCGTTTCGACTTGCATCTCCATTTCACATCAATTGATTCTTTCGACAAGCTCCCAAGCTTTGTTCTTTTTGATGGCTTTGAGATCCAATTCGAATTGCTCAAGGCTTCATCATCATGGCTTCTTTGATTTAGTCACCATCTGCATCGATTGTATAATCTGGAAACTCCTCATATCCAATCATCCTAGTCAAACTCAGTTCCCGTTCCTTTCCATCTCCTTTCCGTTAATTCGACCAATCGAAGTATCACCTCTTCATCTTGACTTGTCAAAGCTTCATTCTGTTCTTTTCGATCTCCTTTCCTTCAATTCGACCAATCGAAGCATCACCTCTTCATCTTGACTTGTCGAAGCTTTGTTCTTCGAACAAAGTTGTGATAGTTGTGACAATGTCGAATCTTAGTTATGTTCATCTTCTTGTCGAACTGAACTTCGACTCCAACCCTACCCTTTGTGTTCGTCTACAAGACCATCTTTACTGATCACTAGTTTATCTTCGATTTGTGAATACAGCTTGTGTGCACCAACCGAATGATAATCTATGAGCACAAAGACTTCACTTCGATCATCCAACTCCTTCCTCTCCTATTCAGGTACATGCCTGAAACACATTGATCCAAAAACTCTAAGATGACTTATATTTGGCTGATTCGACCCTAAGTCCTTCTATGAAATCACGCCACGTTCGAAGGTTACATTTCCTTCAAACTTGCTTCTTTGGATAAGATCAGAGCTTTTGAATTCAAAATCTTCTTCTTTTCAAAGCGCCACTTCAATCAACATGACAGTCGAAATGTCTTTTCTTGTAATGCTTCGAATAACTTATATTTCAATTGTTCAAAAACAAACCCTTCGATAATGGTTCAACATAGTGAAGATCTTTACTAACTCTTCATCAATCGAAGACTTCATAAAATCCTCCTCACACTTTATTTCGAACTATTCTTTCTTCGATCATAGTGTCAATTATTCAAAACTTGTGTAATCGAAATTCCCAACTAACACTGCTTCATTGGGCATCTAATTAGAATGCACACTACTGTCGAAGCTGCTTCAGCCCAAAATCTTAGACATATTCTTAGCTTTTGATATACACCTCATCATGTTCCATACACTTCTTTTATTTCTTTCAGCTGTGCCATTATGCTGAGGCGTATAGGGTGCCATGGAAATCATTTGAATCTTTTGCAAACCAAAATTCTTTGTGAGAAAAGAAGCTCTAGATGGAAATCCATTTCTTAGGAGGAGAATTTGTTTGGTCAATTCTTGGTCAATCTTGAGAAAATGGGGACCTCAATGAGCATGCCTTGAATAGAATGGGAGGGAAAATTTTGGGGTACAACAACCCCAGTTGTTCTACTATCTTAAAATCGTTCTTCTTTATGATCTTCAAAATCTCCTCCATTTCTTGGGTGGAAGGTTCCTCGGTAGCAATGTCTTTGGCAGGCGCCTCTATCCTAGCAGGCTCAACCATCTTTTCTTTTCCCCTAGTGTCAGTACTAGGTTTGTCCATGGTAATGAGAACTGGTGTAGTTGTAGTAGTTGGAGGTGAAATGTCAGGAGAGAAGATTCTCCCCGTCCTTGTCACCTTGCTAGAACCAACAATTATTAGTTTTGTCTTTGTTAATCCAGGAGTCTTGCTTAATCCCATGTGTTGCACCCCAAAATTTTCCTTCCTCATTTCTTTTTATCTGGCTTAGAATTTTCATTCACCTGCATCATTTCATTAGGTAATTCGCATGGCATTTTCATTCAAAAAAAGAGTACGTGAGGTTCAAAAGATCAGTAGTTGTGAAGCTAGGGTTTACAACTGGTTTGAGGTGTATGTGTTGAACAAGATTTATTATTTTGGTTCTTCTTGGTATACCATACTATGGAATTAGGGTTTTGTGTTCCTCGACATTATGGGCTTCGTCTCTCATCAAGCTACAAGGCTTTCCTTCGTCAAGATTTCGCAAGTGCATCGAGTGTTTGGGGTTTCATCAAGATTTCGTCGGAGGTTGCTTAGGAATAAGGTGGAATTCAAGATGGGCTCTTTAAGAACTTGGTATATCATCGAATTTTATCATTCAAAGGGTTTTACCACATGTTACCTATTGAGCGAGGCTTGAAGATAAAGTCATTTGAAATTTAAAGTGAAAACTACAGCTTGAGAAATGGGCTTGCGATTTCTTTGAACTAAAACGATTTGTGTTACTTGATTTGGATATGTTTGTTGAGAAGTGAAGTGGGCTTTAAGACTAATCGAATGTCATCAATCGTTTTGGTCAATAAATTTTCAAAAAAAAAGTCAATTAAAAAAGATTGGAAAGCAAAAGCATCTGGATTGTTTGGAGTTGAAGTTACAAGTTGCGGGGTTCAACATACATCATTGTTTCATTCACAATTCATCATTGTTATTCGAATTTTGCATATCATTCGTCATTTACGTCACTCAAGTTCAACGTCTCAACATTCATCATCAAATTCCGTAATATCCACCATTATTCTACAAAAAATATTTCAGGATCAAAGAAATGAGTATTCAATTACAAGTTCAAAAGCAATTGAGAGAAATTCAAACTCAGTCTTAAGGAGAAAAGCAAACACTTTTTGAGTAATAGAGAAGATTGATATTGAATTCAAAATATTTCAAACTACATTCACAATCAAGAGCTATAACTTCATTCAAAATAAGAAAAGCTTGTTCAAAGTCCATCCAAAATTCGTTACAAAATACATAAAAAGAGTGACATAAATTCCTAAGTCCCAAAGCCTATGTCAAATTAAATCTTCAAGTTGTTATAACCAAGAAACAAGCCTTGGACATTTAAAAGCTATGATTAAGGATTTTGCTTCATGTTGTAAACTCCAAACCATTCATTCCAAACTTCATTTCCAACTCTCCTCAAAGTTAGTTTTGGATGGTTTCAAAGTTTTTTTCTTCATGGCCAAAGAAGTTATGACTCTATCATTCTTCTAAGACAACCTCCTTAAATCTTGCCAACATAAGTATTCACCTTCTGAAACTGCATAAACCGGATCAATGTCCTGTTAATTGTTAGAAGAAATTGCAAAAGTAGTCATATGTTAAATCCCTTCATTTCGATTTATGGCAAAACAGATCACTGTCAAGAGAGGTTAAACAATAGGTACAGACCTGCATTAACTAACGAGGAAACATTCTTTTGGATCATGTGTTAAAATCCTAAAAAGGGTTAACCTAATTGTTATTATACCAAACCCGATAAACCAATTTCAAACTAGCAAAGACTTACCCCATATCAAGATAACTCGCAGCTGCTACCAACATCAAGGCATATTCCATAAAGTAATCCAAAATTTAGATGAAACTGAAATGAGAAATGAAATTGTAAATTGGAAATAGAATAAATAGAAAGAAGGGTTACTGATTCTTCAAAAGACGGCTTTATCTTTTAGTTAAACCTGATGTCATGAACCAATCCCTTTTCTGGTCTTGTTCTTCCAGAGGATCAAGCTGGATGCGATGATGTTTATGAATTAGATGAAGAGCTTTTGGCCAAAACCAGTTCTTGTTGTGCTTTTTCTTTATCTTTTCACCAATAATCTAAAGAGGAGAGGTTGCAACAGAATAAGAGGAAAAATCAGGAGATTGTTAGTCCCAAACTATGGAAATATAAAATCAGAAACCAAATAAATAGCCCTGCACATACATCATCCAGTTCAGAAAATGCAGAAGGAAAATTGCATTAGCTGCCATTCAAAAAGAAAGAAAATCTGGGAGATAAATTTTGAAACCATGAAAACCAATGCACCAACCCATAGAAACCTGCATTCAATAAAACGAAAAAGTTAGCATCAGCCCATACAAATTCAAGAACATATGTAAATTCAAACAAATGAAAAATGTCATTTTTACTGTCAACTCTAGCCAATTCCATAATTGTTCTCCTAACTACCCTGCATAACTGAACCCTAACCAATCTTCTAAAATAGCCTGTAACAAACCTATAACCAATTTCCCAACCGAATTCTTACTCCCTCTAACTTCAACAAACTTATAACAACCAAAACAGAATTGACTCTAAAAAAGATCTCCAACTGGCCTCTAATAGAAAACCTCGTAACAGATTTAACAGAAACTGTTTTCTAACCACTCATCTAACATAAATTATGATTGTCTATAACAGAACCCAAACCAGTTATACAGAAAAATTCCCTAACAGAACTAACAAGAGCTAACCAACTTTCACTATGTAACTAAATCTTCCAACCTCCTAACTATTTCTAACTACTTCCAAGATACCTATAACAGATAATAAAGAAGGAGGAAGGGGGGATTCACGATCATTCATTCACAGAGAAAAAAATACAGAAAAACTCACCACAAAACTCCTTGAAATTCTCTCTTCTTCCATCTATCATTATTTAATCTCTGCATCTTCTTAAACCTTTTCCACCATCTTCTTGTATCATCATCATCATCATTCAATCATCAATTCTGCAAAAAACTATTTATTCTCCTTGCTTCTTCATCTTCACTATCATTCTTCAATTCTCTAGAGAAGAAACACAAGCACAAAAATATCTCTTCTCCACCTTCACTGTCCTTCAACTACCCTGAAGCTTCTGCAACAACACCAACATCTTCATCACATTCGTCTTCAATCTTTAACAACATCACAAATCTTCAACATCATTCTCATCGCTGCAACCTGCAACAACTAGGACATCAACGATTCCACACCGAATTTTAATATCAACGATAATTTGCAACACCGCAAGAATTAGATTCATCAATTCAACACATAGAAAACTCACCATTCTTCTCTGTATTCTCTCGATTCTTTAATTGTATTTCATTCTCATCAATTCACAATTATGCATCAACCTTACCCCCTGCTTCAATCTTCTTCAATATTTCCAATAATTCATCTCTGCAACGTTCAACCATCATCACCGATGGACAACAACCAATGACGATTCGTGCACGTAGCAACATTGATGGACACAAAATTTTCAAAATCGAAGAAGGTGAAGCTCTACGTCGAAGCCGCGGCTGTTGAGATAAGCTGAGACAAAACTCAAAGAAAAAGTTGTTGAAAGGAGACTGAAAGTTCGTATCAATGTTGAAGTGAGGGCGATTGTACGGATCAGAAACAGAGGAGATAGTTGAACTCGATTCGAAATGGTAGCTGAGTCAATATTGAGACAAATCAGAAGAAGGTTGAGGGGGAGATTTAGATGTTTGACGGAGAGAGTGATACAGAGGAGGCTCCGTCGATTTAATCAAAGTTTATGCGGATTCAATCATAAGAGTAATTAGGTAGAAGTAGTTCCAATGTTGTTAGAAGAGATGAATATTATCTCTTTGGTTCATGCGAAGCATCACAGTTTTCTTTCTTACCCTAACTTTACTAGACACGGGCCTTTCGATTCTTCTCAGGCCTGAACGGTTTTTGGTAGTTGTTGGATCATACACAAAAAAGCTTATTAGATTCATTCTCAGTGGGCTTAACCATACCCTCATGCCTAGCCCGCTACAACTTTTTGGAGATTTGAGGAGATTTAAGGAGTTTGAACCAAAATAAATTTGTGGACTCTGCCAGCATGGGCCTGGTACCCAGTTTTTGGACATACCCCTGGTTTGACACCCCCTTTGAGCTTAATGTTCTCCTTAAATTTCCATGATATTTTACTTATCTTTTTGTTATAGATTATTGATAAAAAATTACAAAAATCGATAGGACTTGTTAGTTTTTGTTAGAACTAATTCTCTAGTTTTTGGTAGCTTTTTTTGTCCATAATAAAAATAATAAAAAATAGTGGAATATAATAGATTTTTGTAGAGTTTCTTTTGTAGAAGTTTGTTTAGAATTTTCTATTATCAAGTATGTTAGTAATCATTTTGTTACTCGAAATTTGTGAATTCACCTTTGCTTGTTGATATTTTAGTCTTATGCAGGTTTACTGTGCGATATACGGATGCACTTGAGATTTTGATTTTGATTTATTTTCACATCGATGATGCGTTGACGCTTATTCCGAATATTTGATTTCAAACTCTTTTTTTCTTGGTGAAGCTTACTTGAAGTTTTCCGGATTTTTCTGTTTCTTTGCATGCTGTGCTATGAACTTTTATTTGTTTGGTATTTTCTCTTGTTTATCTCATTTCAGCACTTTATTGCTTTCTAGATATCATGAGAAGTAGGAAATAAAGAGCCTGCACTCGAAGTCGCTGTTTAAAGACCTGTAGCAGGCATTCCGCACTTTATTTGTTATATATGTTGTGCTTGTGTTTGTTTCCTTGGTTGTTGATCGATGAGTCACTCACTTTAGGAATTGAGATCACGACTTCTCTCTCAGTGCATGCTCCCTATAGGATTTTATTAATTTCTAGTTGATCGATGAGTCACTCAATTTAGAAATTGAGATCACGACTTCGCTCTCATTGCATGTTCCCCGTAGGATAGTTTTGTTAGACTTTCTTTGGTATGCTAGCCTAGATAGGATCTCTCTAGGTGTGATATCTTGAGCTTATTGGCTTGCTTGTTTGATTTCATCTTTGTGTGCATGTTTTGAGATGATATACCCTCGGCATGTTCCTTTAGGAGCTCTCGATTCAACTATAGATGATGATTTGAGATAGACATAGTTTTAGGTGATATACCCTTGTTATGCTCCTTTAGAACTTATTGATTCATCTATAGATGATGATTTAAGATAGACATTAGGATTATTATCCAAGCATGTCAACATAGGGTAGAGGTTTCCCTTCAAAACTCAACCTTAGGATCAACCATTGTATGATAACATTAGGGATAGATATAGGCTAGTCTCCCTTAAATGTTTTCTTCCATTTTTGGTATAAATGCATTTAAAACTAAAAATTCCTTTTTCTTGAAAAAAAAGCATAAAACATCTAACAACTTCTAAATCCTTCTTTAAGTTAAAAGCTATCAACCAATGCAAACTCTTTTGCGCCTTCGGGCTTTTCTTTCAAACTTTTCAGAAAGAACATGTTAATTTACTTATGTACTGACGCGTAAGTCTCCAAAGGTCGAGTTGCGGCAGAAGGCGGAATTAATCTTGTTCATTAAAAAATACAAACCAACAAAAACTTTTGAAGCCGAACTACGGCTGCTCTGATTCCTTAAAATGGATACGTAGGCATTGAGGTAGGGCCCGAACAAGCACAATGTTGTACCCCAAAATTTGCCCTCTCATTTTTTCAATATTTTCTCATCACAATGCCCTTGGAGCTCAAAATCCAGTTGGGGTTTCCTCTACTCAAGACTTCTCCTAGCACTGCTGACCCAAATTAGGGTTTGTGTTTGCACAAAGATGTTTTGACCTAAAATGCCTAAGATGACTTTCATACTTCATGTTGGACTCCCAAGTTTATCCATACCAAGTTTCAAGCCTTGATTCCAACCTTTGCCCAGTCAATTGGACAGTTGACCTAGAAATCAGCTGTATTGGGGAAAAAGTCAAATGTGGCCAATTGACAGTCAAACCTCATGAAAATTGACCCACATCAACATTATGAACTCATATGGATCATTTGATCAAGTTTGGTCCATAATTCCACAAGAAATTTGATCAGATCACCAAAAGGGCAAAATGGTCATTTTTAGGGTTTTGACTGTACAAAGGCAATTTTTGACTGTTTGACCTAGCCAATGGCAAACCAAGATCACATATGGACTCAAGGACCCCATGGAATTGTCTTGACATACTCAACAAGTTCAAAAGATTCCAAATGCACAAGATTGACAGTTGAATTTTCCAGTCAATTGATCAATTTTGACTGTATACTTAAAAGTCAAACTTTGACTTTTTGGTCAAAGTCAAGTGTCAAGATTCATTTTTCATCAAAGCATGCCAAATCATGAAACTTGTTCATCAAGAAATCCAAAATAACAAATTAGGGTTTGAAATGAAGATTTTTCATAACTTAGAATTTTTCTAAGTTATGAAAAACCCTAATTTTTTCCTAACTTTGTCCCACTTTCTCATCAAGATTCATTTGGATTCAAGCAAAAGCCAAAACATGAAAGTTGTAGTCCATTGCAAAATCTACAACTTTTATTCACAAAGTTTCCTCAAAAGAAGCTTGTAGCTCAAGTTACAATTTTTGGAACAAGGGTACCAAACCATTCTTAACTTAGAGAAATTTGACCTATTTTAGGCAAGGTTTTTGCCTAACTTCAAGACCACTTTTCACATACTTCCACTTGGAATTTCAATTTGAATTACAAATATGGATTGTAGTATACATTCCAAGCTTTCCAAAATGTCCAAGAACTCATCAAACAACCTCATGGTTAGAGAGAATCGAATTTGGCAAGTTGGGAAAAAGTCACTTTGATTCATGGCCATGTACATGTTCATAACTTGTGCAATTTTTCAAATCAGCTTGCACAACTTGATTACAGGTCCTATATCCCATTTGCACTCATAAATTAAATGCAAACCCTTTGTGTTCAAGCCTTGCATTATGTGTTTAAGCATTACATGAAGGTTTAGTCCTAAAATAGAAAAAGCATTATGTCCATTTTTGAAAAAGTAGAACTTTATGTCAATTTGCAAATCAAGAGGTACACAGCAAATCTCTTTGGCACAAGTTATTGAGCTAATCCCACTGATCAAGGGCATGCTTAGAAGCACATTAGAGGGGCCTCCATCAGTCAAAAACAGAACTTGGCATTTTGTTGCTTAAGTAAGAAGAAACTTGACATAACAACTCCCAACTCTCATCTCAGCCAAAACAACCTTAAGCAAAGTTATTGTACTTGTTCTAAACACTAAACCTAAGTTGAAACACAATCCAAGCAAGTTCCAAACATTCTCAAACACATAATCACCATTAAACTGCACAAAAACAGGGCATTCTGCACTTGGACTTGGCTAGCTCATTTCCCTCGTGCACCTTGACCAAAAACACTTCAAACACATCCCACACCATCCCTTGAAACTGTTCCAAGCCCTAAACACGACCTGTAACACCCCTAGCTAACATCACCATTTTCATATTTTCTGTTTTGCAGTTGAAGTTCCATAACACGATTCACTTGGTTTTGAAGCAAACTAAAGGTTGGAATAGCATCCTGGGACATCAAGGAAGCTATACAAATCATTACCTTGCCTTGTAAGCATCTCCATTGTTGCACACGTTTCCAACTGAACAGGTAAGTTCATGAACTCTTATCTCTCTATCCAGGCATAATTAGGTTTAGATTTGTGAAGAAATTATGTCACATTCATAGCCCTGAACATGCCCATATCATTAGTTTTCATTTATGTTATGTGTGCTTAGAGAATTTTAAGTCTGAACATTGAATAAAAACTAGGTCAGGAATTGGGGGAGAAGAAATTCTCTCTCATTTCTGAGAGTTAAGATGAGTTCTTTATATGTCCAGAATCGTGGTTTGATGTTCTTCATTTCTTGTGTTGTGAGTTTGTGCTGAAAATCAGGGAATCTGGAGATAGGAAAACGCGCGTTTTTGTTGATTCAAACAGGTTCTGAGGTTGAAGACAAAGTCTTCTTGGGCTGGGCCTGAGTTGACTTCTTATTTACACCACTTTTTTACTTTTGAACCCCCCTGGCCCATTTTAAGATATCTTTGTTATTTTTCATTTTTTCCTTTTGATTTAGTTTTTATATTTTTGTCTAAACATAAAAAAGCATAAAAAACATTTTTCCACATTTTTTTGCATTTTATTTGATATTGATTTGCTTTATTTAGTTATACATATAAATAAATACATATTACTTTTTGTTTAGAATATTAGGAATAATACAAAATACATTTATTTTCTAATTTATTTTATTTTATCTTCTGAAAACATTTTTTATAAAATATACTTTTTTTTGTAAATATTAAATATTTTTATTTTTGTTCATATTTAACATATTTAATAAATAATACAAATACATATATATTTATTAGAATATTTAGGATAAAAATACAAAATATATACATTTTTATTTTTATTAATACTTAACATTAAAAATACCTTTTTGACAAATATACTTCTCTTTTATTTATTTTTTGTACATAATTAATAAATATTGCCTATATCATACAATAAATACTTTTATTTGTAAAAATTAGGGTTTTTTGCCCTAAATGCATAAAAATACCAAAAATTAATTAACTTTATTTTTATTTATTTGATACATGATAAATATTTTTCACATACATATGAAAACCCTTTTTTGCATTTTTGCATATTTATTTTATTTTTATTTTGATATTGTGTAATTAAATACCTTGCAAAATTCCAAAGTTTGATGTAATAGTCTAGGATTTAATTCTTGTCAAAATACCCCTATTTGAACATTTGTACCCCCCATCCCATATATTGTGTTGTAATAACTTAGGAGCTTTATTTTTTCGCACTTTAAAGCTTTCTAAATATGCCATGCTAGAATTAGGGTTTGTATGCAAATCAATTAACCAAAAAATAGTTTGACCTAAATTCAAGATAAACAAGCATGAAAATGGACAACACTAATCACACTTGCACCCCTAGGGTATTCCACTTGTTGCCTTCAATAATGGGCCATATTGCATGTTAGGTATCATTGGGCTAAAACAAAACAATCAAATGATCATAGTCCCTCGATGACGC